CATTTTGTATCTATTTACATCATTATTGCTTTCATCAGTTGTTAAAGATGATGTAATATTTATCCTATTTCATTTATTAGGACTTTACAAACGATACTATTCTATTTAGTCATTTAATTCCTTAAATTATTTATGTCTTTCACGGGGAAAGAATATTTCTCTAATAAAATAATTTAAATACTTAATTCATTGAATCTCGGTCAACCTAACTCGAATTGACACAGTTTTGCAAACCAATCAGAAGGTTGAGCTATATTCTAGCAAGGTTGTGAGAGCGTACAGGTTGAGCATGCAGTAAGGCTTCAAAATAAGAGATTTAATTTTCTATTTTGGAGTTAGAAAGGTTTTGATCTTAAATAAACAAAGTAGCTAATGTTGTAAAATAAAATTATAGAGCATTATAAGGAACTCAAGATATGAAAATAAAGCGGGAGAATAAGCAGTATTTGTGATAATTCACAGAGACGACACATTATTCTGAAACTCTTTCTCCGGAAGTAAGAAGCAGCCCACTCCAAATAGACGCCTATTTAGTCGTATTGTAGCTGGCTGCTTGCTACTATCAAAACAAGAAGAAAAAGCTTTGACAGTAACATGAAGTGGTGCTCTGTTTGTGATTAGTAGGTTATATTTTATTCAGAAGTGAGACTAAGCTCATTTGGACACCGAGAAATGTTAGTTTTTGGACACTCAGGCGGACGTTCGGCTGTAGTGTATTTAACCAGGTTTGATTTTCATCGACGAGTAGGTAGAAACGCAGCATGTTTGCCGTCTGACAACTTGTGACTTGGGCTTTAGAAGTGCGAATTTGCCGTAATGGCTTCATCGCTGGGTTGCTTCAACGGTCCGGAGGTACTGGAGGACGTGAACCACGCTCGGGGCTTGATTCACGAGCTGAAACTGATGTACGACTCTCGGTTGCTCGGCGACGTTACCATCGGGGTTGAGTGTGATGATGATGATGATGAGGAAGAGGAGGAATCGCTGGAGCAGCGCGAGGGAAGAAGAGTTGACGTGGGTCAAGTGTTTCTGTGCAGCCGCAACGTCCTGGCCGCTGCCAGCCCGTACTTCAAGAGCATGTTCACGGGCGGGCTGAACGAGAGCGCCCAGGAGCGGGTGCTCATCCGCGGCGTGGACTCTGAATCCATGTCGGTCATCATCGATTACTGCTACACGGGCAGGGTGACCATCACGGAGAGCAACGTGCAGAGGCTGTACGCGGCGGCCAACATGCTGCAGCTGGAGTACATCCGGAAAGCCTGCTCCGGCTTCATGAGCAGGAGGCTGGATCACTCCAACTGCGTGGGGATGCTGAAGTTTGCGGACACCTACGACAATCCGGAGTTAAAGGAGAACGCCCAAGCCTTCATTGCCAGGAACTTCAATCAGGTGTTTAACGGAGGGGATCTGTGCGAGCTGAACTCGGATCAGTTTAAGGAACTATTGTCTCTCGATACTTTGGACGTGGACTGTGAGAAGACGGTGTGCTCTGCAGCTATCCAGTGGCTGGAGGTGAACGCACCTGTGGATAAAGAGGACGCCCTGCAGGTGCTGAAGTGTGTGCGCTGGAGCTTGTTCAGCGAGAAGGACAAGTGCTACCTGGAGAGCCTCGCGGCGAGGCCTTTAATCGAGACATACCTGGCATCCTTCTTCAGCAGGTCTGCGGAGGACGGCTGCGCCATGTCTGCGCCTCTGGACGCACCGAAACACAGAATAGGCGTGAGCGCGAAGGAGATGATCCTCTTCTTTGGCCTGCCCAACGACAACATCATGTGCTGCGACCCTTACTCCGAGGACCTGTATTTCATGGCTCCGCCTTTGGAAGATCTCAGCAGTCAAGATTACAAACGCTCCACCATGGAGTCGCTTATCGTTTGCGCCACGCCGGACAACAACTTGTACTTGGCTTCCCACCTTTCCAAACACTTCTGGCTGTACAATCCCGTCCTCAACAGCTGGCAGGAGTTGGCGGAGAGGCTGCTGGGCAGAATCCACTCAGGGATGGGATACCTGAACGGCCACGTGTACCTTCTGGGAGGAAGAAATCCAGTCACAGACGCCCGATTAAAGGAGGTGGAGTGCTACAGCATTCAGAGGAACCAGTGGACGTTGGTGGCCCCGCTGCCTCACTCTTTGGGGAAAATGCAAGTGGTGGCTCTGCACGATCACCTGTACGTGGTGAACAAAAGGAGGATGCTCTGCTACGACCCCAAGAGAAACCGCTGGCGCCACTGTGGCTCGCTCAGAAGGGACAAGCTTCACAAGGCCTGCATCTTCCAGGAGCAGATCGTCTGCGTGTGCGACATCCCCGTGGTCAAAGCCTACAGCCCGGCAAGAGGGGAGTGGAAGAGGCTGGGGGACATCCCCATCGACAGCCGAGCGCTCAACTACCAGGTGATCCAGCACAGCGGCAAGCTGCTGCTCCTCACGCAGACGCTGCTGCAGCACAACAAGAACAGGGTCCTCATCCACGAGTACGACCCCGCTCGGGACGCGTGGAAGAACATCATGGCGGTGTACGTGTCCACCCTGGGGCCCGTGTGCGTGTCGACGCGCGTGTACCCGGCGTGCCTCGGGTCCGCTCACAGCTTCTCCACGGAGGAGGACGACGACAGCGGCTCCAGCGCCGACTGGGACCTGGACGGCTTAACGGATGCAGACTCCGATTCCGGCAGCTCCAGTTCGTTCTCTGATGAGAACTGGTAGGGAACCGATGTTCCCCTGTCAAAAGAAGTGTTTATTTATGATGGCTATTTATTTTTCATTGGGGGATTTTTGTTTGCCACTGGTGAGGTTTCAGTATTAAAGCAGCCATTTAACTTGAACACATAAGTTAAGGACTGGGAGAGGTTATTTTTCTTTCTATTTCACCCACTCACAGTATTGCACCACTTTGAGATTAAGTAAATACAACAAGCATCTCTGTGTAATGACAGACCAACACACAAGGGCATGAATTGGAAGGGAAAAATAAAACATTAAATGTTTTTACAAATATTCTTAAAAGTGTGGCACACATTTACATCCTTTCACTGCCAGCACATGGGATTGATACCTTTTTCTTGCCATTACCTGAACACTACTTTTACCATATACGTGTTCTTCCTGCTTTCACAGGGACAAATCTTTTTTTTGTCCCTTAAGCTGTTAATTTTTCATACTTTTTCATTATATGCTTTCCTCAGTGGGAATGTCAAATGCCTACATACACGTGAACAACTTGGGATGAAGTGTGGACTTCAGACATTTGAATTGGGGGTTTCGTCTCATGCTTGGTGCTTAAAGATCTCTCAGATGTATTCATGTCGCTGTTTGCAAAACACCAGACTTCATTTGGCTCCTCCAAAGCTGTGGGAACTCTGGAACTATTTTTTTTTTTTTTTGTCCTATTTATTATTTTTAAACATATGGACACCTATAGAGGGTAGTTTTTAATTATTTGTACTCTGAGTTTTGTTCCATAATGACATGTTTTTGATCAAATTTGTGTTTAACTTGAACATACGCTTGCACGCCAGCTTCAGATGGATGTAAAATCAGAAATTTGAGGTCTGGAAGCTTAAGTGCCTCTCGTTTATGACTCCAAACTAAACTGGATGAAAAACAGGGCTTTTTCTATGCAGATGATGTGATTCTGCGCTTAGCAAGTGGTTGTGAAATTTTTAGTTTGAAACCACAAAGTCAGTGTTTTGCCGCAGTCTCAGGTTTGGGCTCAGAAGCCTTCTTGCCATGTTCGACTTTCTTTTTGTTGTGACTATAAGCGGCTCATTTTGTATTCAGATCTATGATGTTTTTTGTGTAGAAGGATAATTTAATTTCTGCATTCCAAAATGAAATGAAATTTATTCTTGTTTTGCTTTATCGGCAGTATTTGGTCCAAAATGCTGAGAGATGGTAGGCATTGAACTGCTTTTGGGAGCATAAAATTTATGAAATGCAAGACCAACGAACTGCTTCTGCTTAAACAATCATGATGTGGAGATGAGTCAGTATTTCTGTCAGCATACAGCAATGCAACATTAGTAGCTGGGTTTTACCTTACCCAAAGGGTCCATAGCGATGAGTGTTAGCTTGACTCTACATTTTACTTTTACATTTACTTTTCACTGATTAGGAGGTGATTTTATTGTGTTTGTCAAAAATAAACTTGTGTCCATTACATCTAGAAAATTTCATTTTGGTGTCTTTTGTATTAAACCACCTATGTTGGAAGTAGGCTTCTGACAGTCTGAACAGTACATGGAACTACAGTACAGAGAACCATGTGTTAACATGGAAAACTGGCTTTCTAAAAAATAAAATGCAGCAGTTTTAACAACGAATTCAAACAAAAGATAGATCTTGTGACATGTTTTGATCAGTTGGTAATAAAATAGGAGAACCAATGCTGACTATTAGTGTTTTTCTTGAGGTAAAATTGGAATTTTACCAATTTTACCTCTAAATGGGTAAAATATAGTCACATTTTAAAAATCTGAAATAACCATGAAAACTTGAAATTGAATGTAACTTTAGTGTTTGTAGAACCCACACATGCTCATACTGCACAATTTTAAATATATATATATATATATATATATATATATATATATATATTTATGAGGGTGGGCCAAGATTAGATTACCCCGTAATACCTTGAGATATGATAGTTTTCCATATGGCAATATTAATTAAAAAAATATAATCAAAACGTGAAAAAGAATAAAGAAAAGCAACAATTACTCCTTCAGCTACCCAAGATATGTGGAAGCCTCACATTAAACTATTAAAAAAAAATAGCGTATGTTTTAGTGTATAAATTAAATGAAATAAAAATTAATTTAATTTAAACAATACAAGTGATTTTCCTTTTCATCATTCATTGCATGTAAATGTGCACAGTCCGTTTGCTAATTTACCTCAAAGAACTCCCCGAAAATCAAAACAACAAAGCAATAACCACAGGCAGATTTTGCGTACTTCCAATGATTTCCTCTTGGCTACGGGTGACATCTAGCGACGCTTTTCTAAGTTCTCGCGATATCTTATCGCCGGCCAGACAGCAACGAGATGAGCCATGGCAATAGAAAACAAACCAGAGGAAGAATTTGACACAGTTTTTAGTCTGAATGACTCCCTGGAGCTCTCCTCTCATCCAGAGCATGACAGTGGAAAGGCACGAATCTTCAAGATAATAGTCATAGGAGACTCAAACGTGGGGAAGACGTGCCTGACTTACCGCTTCTGCGGGGGCACTTTCCTGAAAAACCCAGAGGCAACTATCGGGGTGGATTTCAGGGAGAGGTCGGTGGTGCTGGACGGAGAGAACATCAAGGTGAGGTGACACACGTTAATAATTATCCACAAGAAACGATAAACATGCTCTGTCTGGTGTGTTGCTTTTATTGGAAGATTAGAGGAAAAGCGTTCTTATCATCACAGGAAATTATAGTTTGCTTAATGAAAAACGGGCTAATGGGCTACAGCATTCCACAATTTAAGATTTCTATATTTTACTTTTACATTTTTGTCAGTTCGCAAAAGTCTATAATTAGAACTGTTCATTCAACAGTTTTCTCCTCGATGTTCTCATCAAAGGAAAACAGGTGCTACATCTCATGACACAGTGCCTTGCAAAAATATCAGTATTCCTTAGAGTCTCAAACACAAATTTGTTTTCTGTGACTCTTACACGCTAGACCAACAAAAGATTGTGTTAGGACTTGGCTTTTCCAGCTTTGTGCATTTAGAGGCTTATGTTAATGCCCATTCTTCTTCACAAACTGTCTCATGTTCAGACAAATAGGATGGAAAGCATCTATTGACATCCATTTTGTAAAGACTTTGACTAGGCCATTCTAATTCATGGATTTGCTTTCATTTAAACCCTTCTATTCCTATTCTGGGTGCGTTTACGTTAGCTTTCATGCTGGAAGTGCAAGTTTTAGCTTAATAAGTATGCTGTTTCTCCAGCAATTGGCCTTTGTTGAGTCTACAAAAAAAAGGCCAGTTAACGATTAATTGGCTACTAAATTAGTTGACAGTTATTTTAATAATTGATTAATCACGATTAGTTGCTTCAGCCGTAATTTCTATTTCTTCTATAAATACTACGACAAAATACTGTCAACCAGCTCAGTCCCAAATCACATTTCAAAGGCCTTTCTTCATCATTACAATACTGATTCTTAAAACCAAACTCCGCAAACCAGACAGTGACAAAACAGAGATTGCCATGTTGTCGTTTGTTTTCTCGTCCCGATTGCTCGGTAGGAAAACGATGGCGTCACTCTTGCTGCACGCGCTGAACAACAACGAATCTGCTTCTGCTTCTGCCTCCTTTTCCAGTTGCAGATTTGGGACACAGCGGGTCAGGAGCGCTTCAGGAAGAGCATGGTGGAGCACTACTACCGCAGTGTTCACGCCGTCATCTTTGTGTATGACGTGACCAATCTGCCATCCTTCGAAAGCATCCCCGAGTGGATTGAAGAGTGCAGCAAACACTCCGTGGGGCCCCTGGTGCCGCGCATCATCGTGGGAAACAAATGTGACCTGAGGGAACATCGGCAGGTGGCCGCCTCTGCCGCCCACTGTCTTGCCGACAGCTACAACTTCCCCCTGTTCGAGACTTCGGCCAAAGACCCCGCTGAGAAAGAGCATGTTGACGCCATCTTTCTGACTTTAGCTTATCGGCTGAAGAGCCACAAGCCCCTGAGACTGAAGCAGCTGAGTGAGAGCTCTGTTAGGGAGCTGAGGAACCAGAGAGAACAGGAAATGACATTTTGTCAGTGCTAAGGTCTACTGTGGGCTCACCAGGGTGGACAAAGGCCACGGTATCCGTCTGAACGTCTGTTTAAAATCAACATTGTCACTAAATTAGTGAGCGGTATTTAAAAAGTAGAAAGAAGCTTTCTGTTGTTTCTAAAATGCTCTCTGGTTGATGTCAGGCACAGGTCATGGTCATGGCAGCAAAGACCGATCGGTTGGAGCAAAAGTTTAACCGATACTTCTACAAAATGCATGAGTCAATGTGGACATGTGTCAAGTATTTGCACTTTAGAAAACAATTACAATTGACAAGAAATGTCTACATCAATCTCTCTCTGGCAGAATTATGTTCCGTCATTGAATTACAATGCAGACTGCTGGACAGAAAACGAAAATAAAGTGTTTAAAGTCACCAAAGCAGATAGAATGACAATGGAACTGTGATGAAATTTGCAATCATTTTCTTTTTCTGTATACATTGCAAACACAAGTCTAGAATAATGATGCATATCAATGTAAGTGGTAAAATGCTGCTACTTTGTGGGTACAAAATATATATCCATACAGCTGACCTGCGAAACGTATCTAGAATAAGCTCTGGTTCCTAGAAATCAACACGAAATGTATCAAACGTGATGCATTTCGTGATTGTTAAGTTGCATGTAAACAGTTTAAACAACATGTTACAAAAGCAAAACAATTTGACTATTTCAGCCTGAGTGATGGGGGGGGGAAAAAAACGCACTTTACTATGCATTATTTATAGAACTATAAAGGGAGCTGAAACCTTTGGATCAGTGCAGTGTCGTGATTGTTATATCAATGTGGATCTGTTTTGATAATTAAATGTGCAGATTATATCAAAGTAGTGGGACCATTTCATGGTTTTGGAAGCCAAAACAGCTAGAGGGCTGGTGCAGAGACGACCTCTATGAGGACAAAACAAAGGAAACGATCGTCTAGTTCTGAAGGTCATGAGCCAAACACAAAAGCCTCGCCATCAGAGCCCTTCCAGGAGAGAAAGTGAATGGCATTTAATTTATCAGAGTGCGGATCTCTGATGACCTCGCGCTGATCGAAGAACATCGCCACTATTGTGAAATGGGCCCAGCAGAGACTGCAATTTCTGGGGAAACTGAAACCAATGTCGCTCCTCCCTACCAGCATCTCGCATCATCCCTCAAGGCCGTGGTTTAGTTGTGGTTTTCGATGGGGTGTTATAGATCTCTTCCCAGAGCAGCATGCAGAGAGTGTAGCAAAAAATAAAGTTAAATTTTGTAAGTTGTGTGTGAAAAGGGTTTTCTAAGGCTCAATTGTATGTCCAGTTAGTAGGAACAGATTCACTCCCTTTGTGGTTTGAACCAGTGGTTATTTTATTACTTAGACAAGTTTTAATTGGATTTACTCATCCCCGATTTAACATCTGTCCTCATTAGTCATGGTATTTTGCATGGTATTTGGCTTATACACTGAACAATTACGTGTTAAAAACAGTGAAATTCATGGAACCTGTTTCTATTTTTGAAAAAATAATTTGTGTTTTCAGTGTTTTCTTGTAATAAGCAAAATCGTGAAAAGCATGATGTATAGAAACTTGTAAAACCTGGACTTGTATTAGGAGTGCTTCTTATTCATTGTATTATATCTATGGATTTTCAGTTATATTGGCTTTCTTTGGGGGGTTTGTTTGAGTGAGGGGCAGCATTCATGCAAGAACCACCACTGCTCATGATGCTCCAGCTGCAATGACAGAAAAAAACGAGTGCTGCAGTGAATGCGAACGTTAATAGGTAGTTAAAATGTCTCTATAATATCTTTCAGAGCTACTGCAGGATCAGGACTCTGAAAAATATTACTTTATAATTTACTTTTATAATGTCATCAGTTAAATATACAATTAAATGGAAATAAATTAACTTTTGTGTTATTGTTGTCACGACCGTTAAGCTCTATTATATGGCGGGCAGCATGGTTGCACAGTGGTAACACTGTTGCCTTGCAGCAATATGGTCTTGAGTTTTAATCCTGGCCTGGGATCTTTCTGTTTAGAGTTTGCATGTTTTCTCAGTACATGCGTGAGTTCTCTCCTGGTTCTCCAGCTTAATCCAAAAACATGTTACTGTTAGTTAATTGGTTTCTAAACTGACCTAAAGTGTAAGTGTGTAAGCTGGTTATTTCTCCTTTGTGCCTCTGTGATGATCTGTCGAGGTTGTACCCCCGGTGGAGATGGGCACCTCCTCCCTGGCGACCCTTCAAGAACAGGCGGAGAATGGACGGACGGAAATAAAATGGGTCTAATGTTGAGACTATCTCACCCAGATTTCAATATTTGACCTATTTGCAGCGACGACCAGCGGCCATCTCTTGCGTAGCAACAGCCCTGATGAGGCGTTTAATAAACCACGTACAAAATAATTATTTCGATTCAGTCCAGTCGCTAAAAATGAATAGACCCGTTACATGTGGAATACTAATGTAAATACACCTTCTCCATCGATTTTTAAAATTTTTTGTGTCTTCCCAATTAGCCATTCTCTTGATAATCTCTCATTCATGCACTGTGTTCTCTTCTTTACCATGTTTTGAACGCGCAAGTGAAAGCATCGCGGTAACCGAGACTGTCCATGTTCTTCACGCGGCGTCTCTCTGCGGCCATGGTAACACCTTGCTCAACGTTGGACTGCTAATTCATTAACTACCTCACCAACAGTCGCATTTTGTGCAGGTGTAAAGAACACTTTCGCAAAAAACGTATTGTTAAATGCACGGTACGTGTCTCGTCATTGTCTGCATTTGTGTTTAACGCTCTGTGGGAGGATTAGGGGAGTGTTTGCTTACTGACACACGGCGGCCAGTTGAATTTGTGTTTTTGTCTGTTGCCGTCTGACCGCGAATTAGCACAAAGCTAACGTCAAAGCGGGTGCAAATATGTTCGTACAGTAATTTGGGTGTTGAATTGTTTTTATGGTAGTTTTCCGAGCTGTTTGTTCACCGCGTTAAAAAAAGAAAAACAAATCGGTGTCTCTGTTATCAGCTAGCTTATTTTCATATAGCAGGTGTTGCTGTATAACTGATAGTAAGCTGCATAATTAGTTTAATCTTTTGAGCATTTAACACTAATGAGATTTAATGACTTATTGTAGAGTTCCGTGGACTTTTCAGTAGCTAAAATTTGCAAACTCGTTGTTAAATCGCGCTGTTAATTCAGGAAATTGTTTGCTTTCTTTGCAGCTGTTTATGAAGCATGAATTTGGCAGAGATATGTGACAACGCCAAGAAGGGCCGTGAGTATGCCCTGCTTGGAAACTATGACTCCTCCGTGGTGTACTACCAAGGCGTGATTCAGCAGATCCACAAGCACTCTCAGTCCCTCAGAGATCCAGCTCTGAAAGTTAAATGGCAACAGGTCAGTCAACCTTCCCTTTCACTTTGCATTGATAATAAACTGCAGATCAGCAGGACAAATGCACAGGAGTCACTTTGGATTACGACTTCCTTTCCTTTCTTTTGCATAGTTTGAATGTAGGTTTTTTTTCTTTCACTACTACTACTGCCAGACTAGATATATATTTTGTTCTATTATAAGTCATCTAACATGCTGGTTATTGGGTTTCTAGGAGTTTTTCCAATATTGCAGCCTATAAAGCCGTCTTTCCATCCATCTGTCCAAGCACATACACTTGTCCTTATGTGTCTATCCTTCCATCCATTTACTTGTTCTGCTTCTGTCAACTCTCATCAATTTGTCCTTCTGTATGTTAATCCACCTGTCTGTTCATCCTTACCATTTCCGGAATTTGCAGGGTATATTTAAAGCAAGAGCACTACATATATATATATATATATATATGTGTGTGTGTAGTAATTTAAGAGGGAAGAACCTTTATACTTGCACTTTAGCTACATGCCCAAGCTGTTTTCAGCCTGAAAAACATGGAAAATCTGCAGGAACCCTGTAATGTTTTTTTTTCTTTCTAATTCTATGCACATTTTCTAAAGATTTTGAAATAAAAATAAAACTAAATAATAAAAAGTCTATACATTTATAACATTTGTAAAAAAAAATACAGGAATGCTTGAGGAAGATTAAGCTGTAACTGTTAACATTGTGAATTTAAATTAGTTCCCTGAGCTGAGTAAAAGAGTCCCTTGTGCTTGACTCTCTCTCAGTTGAAGAGCTGGACAACACAACAGGAAATGACCCCAGATCATGAACAGAGCATTGAACCCCACCCCCGCACCCCCATCCCCTGCGAATCTGAAACAAGACAGACATCCAGTAGCCACTCAACGCAAGTGGGTAGCAGCCCTGTTGAAAACATCTGAAGAGTGAAGAAAGCTGTGATTACATAAAGCTAAAAAAGTGATTTTTCTTATTGGTTGCTATAAAAGTGCAGCGCCAGGGCCTCTTGGATCAAGACCGATGCATTCAGAGCAGTGATTCTCAAGACTTTTTCTAACAGCTACCACTTCAGTAAATACTGTACCCAGATTTCCGTTTTAAAATATTACCACTTATAGGACATGGACTTATTTGTGTTATGTCGTAAAAAGAAAAACAAATGGTTTCTGTCCCATATTTACTCCGAAGTTGTAATTTTTGACTTTTAAGATGGAAAAATGAACAAAAATGCCACTAGAAGTTAGACTTCTTAGTGGAAATGTCAGAAGATTCTCACCTCTACCTCAAAATCCAATATGGCTGCCTGACATGTACAATTACCTGATGGCTTTGGTGGAAAAAATGATAATCTGATCATTTGCATCTTATCAAATCAGTTACAATGCTGCTACAGTGGCAAACAGTAGAGAAACACATTGGTATTGGCTTAAACTGCTAATATTTATTAGAATGGTAACTCATCTTATCAATTAGCAAACTCAACTGGTTTTCAAACTCGACCAGTTAAGTTGGGTTGGATGTCGTTCCCTGACTTGTTCTGTTTTAACTTGATGTAAATGGAACTGATCGTGACTCATTGTTGTCCATTTCTTCACAGTTTATGTATTTGTACTAACCTTAAAAATTATTTGGACTTGACAACCATAGGTAGAGGTTGTCTTTGTCGGTAGCTTTTTTTTTCCAACTGTCAAGTGTTCAAATCATATGTTGCTAATATTCCTGAATCTGTAAATTAAACTTCACTTGTCCAAACATTAAAGTGTTTCTTGAAACACTGCAACTTTAAAATGAACGCCTACAAACATTAGAGGCTGTTTTTTTTTGTTTTTATTTTAACTTAATCTTAAGATTAAGTTAAAATAAATGATCTCCTTCCTTCTGTGTGTGAGCAGCTCAGACAGGAACTGACAGAGGAATATGAGCAGGTGAAAAGCATTATGGGAACACTTGAGAGCTTCAAGTCCGAGAAGCCAGTCGACATCCTTGTCCCTCTGGAGCGGCCAGAGGACCCGGCAGTTTGGCCCCCACCCATCCCAGTGGAACACAGGCGAGTGATGTTGTACCTGAATTGGCTGTGTGACAAAACGACACACTAAACTCCACAGGGTGTGATTTTGCATAGTCGGGTTTTATCTCTACAGCCTCCACTACATCACTATTCCACTTACAGATCTGGTTTTGAACGTTGGGGGGTGATTTCCTGTCTATTATTATTGCCACTGTTCGCCTATCAGAAATGATCGTTGGTATGTTTAACCGTCTGTGTATTTGCAGGAATCCTGTTGTGGTGAAGAGGCCTAACAGCGCAATAAAGCAGCACAGGAAGGAATCTCCTGGCGTGCAGCACCGAGGAGCAGGAGGACGCGCTCAGACCAACCCCAAAGCAGAGCGGCAGGCCAACAGGGCCGCAAAGGCCAAAGATGATAAGGTCTGACAGCTGCTGTTGCTCATGTTTTGGTTGACCAGTAAATTAACATAGGGCG